TACAGTCTGGGAATGGACCTGGACCATGCCTACAGGTATGGCTATTTGCACACATTCACAGTGCAATCAAATCTGAATGAGCTGTAATTCATTATACCTGTCAGGGTGAAGAACAGTTGTAAATGTCCTGCACTTTTGTTTTTTGTGCTTAATTGTTATCAGCAGGTGCATTTGAACACCTAAACATAATGTTCAGTGACATAAAGACATTAAAGAAATTATTCATGCTGCAAATTCACATTTCAGTTTTTAACGAACATTTGTTCTGTCTGTGCAAAGAGAGGACCTGCTAGTGGAAGTGAAATAAACCTGCACTAGTAGTAAATGTCGAGTTTAACTTTGCTGAGCTGTGATACAGGAATTCCTGCAGTTGACAAATAGCAGGCCGTCTTGACAACATTGATCTTTGAAGGGTCAAAGAACTGCAGAGGCCAAAACAAGGAAGCTACTGTAGCTTATTGGCTGTGTTGCACATTCACTTGTATTTAACCATTATTGCAGTATTCATTTAACCACTTGCTTGTGCTATTTTCCACAACCTCATCATTAAAGGAGTTCAGCTTGATAACACACAGCCTAAAATTTCCGTATATGCAGATGATGTGCTGCTGTTCCTCCAGAACTCTCACATCTTCCTCTGAGAAACCACAAAACAGAATATTAGTAAATGGAAATAATTATCAATTTGAAACACTTCCACAACAGTGGACATTTCAAGGCTGTGGCTCCTCCGTACAGATTAACATTAGAGCTTCCACAAAACTTCATTTGGAGATTTATTGCATCCTTATACACATAAATCCAACAGACTCTCTTCTAATACTGAAGTGAGAGACACTTGCAGAGTGGGATTTACTCACCAATATGTTCATAATGTTCTCTTAAGGACAACCACTTCCACACCTTGTTTGTCTGTTCAGCATTTCTAACATCCCTAACTATTCATCTGAAAACTGAGTGGCACCATGCCATTGTCTCCAGCTCAGCTTCTATTAAACAACATCTCACATTCTATGACATACCAACAAATTAAAAAGAGTACGACTTTTTGTGCTGACCACTTCTATGAAAAACTAAAAGAACCTGAAGTCAACAGTTGTTGTTCATTTAACTCAGTGGAAAAAACATGTTCATGATTATATCTCACTGGTGACAATGCCTTCTTCATCTTACCGTTCCTGTTGTGCTATACCCCAGTACACATGTGCACACATTTGTACTATTGTTTTTTTACAAGGGCACTTGTTGACATAATGCATTCCCTAGTCCCTTCCTTGAACCTTTACCATCACAATTTTACCGTATGTCTAACCCCAACCCTTCCTCTAACCTAAACCTGATTTTAACTAGAACCCTAAAACCAAGTTGTAGCCCTTAAACAATCCTTTGAAATTGTGGGGACCAAAATGTCCTCACTCCCATGATATAAAACTCAAACTGGTCCTCATAACATAGAGCCATGACACTCATGGACAACTTAACAAATTGAGGTAATCTAATGTAAGCCTCCCACTCTGCTGTTATATAACCTGCTTTTGTTTTCTCAGTTTGTATGGTGTTGTAGTCTGTTTGTGTCATGGCAGTTTTTATGTTACGTGCCATTTGATACAAATTTAAAAAGAAAATAAAAGAAAACCAGTAGTACCATTAGTTAACCCACATCCTGTCTGTCCCCTTATAAGGTTTGTGAAAGAGCGCCGGCCCTCCATTTCCCCAAACTTCAACTTCCTGGGTCAACTGCAGCTCTTCCAGGGCACGCTGAACCAGAAGGCCTCTGGTGGTGACCTCCTCATCCAGCAGCCGGACAATCGCCCGCCATCCACCAATGACACTGTTAACCATGTTCACACGAGTCAGAAGGTGAATTATCTGGCTGACACTGCCACAAGCGACTCAGCAGAAGACAAGCAGGCACACAACGAGAATTTTTACACAACAGGCAAAACACATCAGAGACACTCACATTCAGATGGAAGTGGAAATCAGCAGCTTTCCCTGTCAGGGAAATGTCTGACTTTTCATTTGACTCTCAGTCAAAAGCATCAGCAAGTCCAGATGCCAGGTGAGGTTCCAGCCTCCTCCAGTTCCTGTGAGCCTGTCAAATCAGTACCAAAGCCAACACACCTACAATTCTCTTCAGGCTCTGCATCTCTGTTAGAGAAACGCAAAAGCCTCACCCTGTCTTTGACCCCTTTGGGAATTTGTCCTCCTGCCCCAGGAATCAACCAGCAATCAAGCAACACCAGCGCATCCAAAATTAGCCACAACCAGGAGAAAACAGAATGGTCTGAGGCAACGACACAGAGAGACAGTGGCTCCTACAGGCAGGCAGCGTACACCCACAGGGAGCAGAGTCCTTCCCACAGCAAGTGCAGCAGAGCCCCGGTGAAGGAGCAGGGCCTGCTGTCACCGTTCAGCTTCACACTCAACAAGCTGCTGGACTGGGGGGAGAGGATTCTGCTGGGAGGTGTCTTTGTTCCGCCAGTAAAGATGGGACAACCTGCACTGCCGTACAGGTGCTGAGGGTGCAGGTGGTGGGGGGCAGGAGCAGCTGATGTTTGTGTCTGTGCATGTTAGTCAAAAGGACTCTACCCACACATGTGAGGTACATACACACAGGATGTCTAAAAGAACCTTTATCCTATATTTATTTATTTATTGTAGAGCTGAATATAAGAACTATATCTGACAATAAACCTCCACACAAATACAACTTGCTAATTGCATATATACACTGGTCATCTAGTCATTTGTATGATGCAGTTGTTTTAAAAGGCACAACAGATTGAAATGCATTTAATGATAATTAAAGATCATATTTGAACTGTGTCTAATTGCATTTATTCTCAGTGTGAGGCTTCTTAGCAGTGGTATCTGGTTTTTAGGTCAAAATATTACACAAAACTGTAAGCCAGGTATCCATAAACAAAATGTTTAATACATGCAGCATTCTTTAGGGCCACTTTCTTGTGTTAGCATGAGCAAGCTAGGATGAGGTTATAGAAGAGGTTTGACTGGTTAGTTTCATTTATCAACCTGGGATGGAATCGGGTTCAGTACAAAAGGTAGCAGAAGAAGTTAGCTTGAGTTAGTTGAAATATTTGGTGGCTAGGATGGCAGTTGGAATGTTTATGGCTTGGTTGTTGTTTGTTAACAGTCAGCCTGAATTATTAAGAGAGTGGATGTTAATGAAGGGTTGTGCTGGATGTGTGGGAGCAGGTAAAGAGGGGGGTGGTTCTGGGTCACTGGAACCTGAGCCTTCTTGGTGTCATGGGCCCAACTCAACGAAGCACCAGTTAGAGACAGGTTGCCCACCTGATGACCCTGTAGACTTGCCTTCAGTCCTACACCCACACAGAACTTGTATTGGTGCTGCTGATACAGTTTTTGATTCAGTGGGGCCATTACTGGTGTAGATTTCTGCTGATTGGCAGAATTGGTCTAACAGTGATGATGGTTGGATAATTGAGGGGGCCCGGCTGTCAGGTGTGACTACCAAGCCAGTTGGACCAGCCATATGTGTCAAACCACTAAATTTTGGCTCTTTGCTTGGGTGAGGATAGGATTCATGGATGCTTTGTGTTTAGGTCAGAGTGGAGAAATGCTCTGATATGTACATGGTATGAGAGGTTAGGGTTTGAGAATAGTGTCCCAGGTAATGATGTCTACAAAATCATTGTATGCAGGGCTGGCATGTGTCTTGCTCATACTTGGGACAAGATGATCTCCACAGGCCCCCTCCACACAGTTATTATTAGCTGTTTTTGCCAGATGTTTAAGCTAAGCTGATGTCTCACCTTACTCTCCGTTAATAATGAGTGGGGCTGTACTTGTACTTGAAGCAACATCTTCCACTTCAATAATTATTTTAAATACCTGACCATAAAGTCCTTTGTACCGCTGTTGTCATTTTTTTGCTTTTATATTTTTCTTTTTTTTCCCTGAGTGCCTGACTTTTTACATGTGTGAACACCTTCTTACAGTAATGTGCATCTTCTGTGAATCCATTTGCTTCCACAGTTCTACTGTCAGGAAGAGCACAGATGTGTCTACAATTCAGTGAAAAACTTATGTAAAAGGAGTGAAAACTGTGGTCAGGAGGACAAGTTAGAGAGAATTGTTTAGACAAATTCATCAGGCTCACCACTCTAGGTGTGATATCACCACTACAGCCCCTGACTCCTTCTCTTCATGGAGACCAATGTACAGTTTTTCTCATTTTCACCCATTTTAATACAGATTCAAATACATTTTAATCTTTTGAAAAGTACAAATGGAAGTTAAAAGTTTAATCTACAGTAGGTCAACCTCATCATCAGTGAGCCATGGCCCTGTCACCAGTTCACCATTTGTCCTTCTTTAGACACTGTTGGTAGGTACTAACCACTGCAGACCAAGAACACCCACCAAGACCTGCAGTATGGGAGATGCTCTGACCCAGTCATCTCACCATCACAGTTTGGCCCTTGACTCAGATCCTTACACTTTCCCATTTGTCCTGCTTCCAACACATCAACTTTGAGGACTGAATATTCACTTGCTGCCTAATATACCCCACACACTGACAGGTGCCACTGTAACAGATAGTCAATGTTACACCTGCCAGTGGTCATAATGTTATGCCTGATTGGTGTATTTTGCCAGGACACATATTATATGTGATGTGAGGAAAGGTAAAAATACTGTGCAGGAGTGCAAAAGTAAAGAAGAGCTTTAAGTGTAGTGATAGTTTTAGAAAAATATAGACATTTGTTTAAAAAAAAGACATTTTCCATAAATCAGTAATCTCTATGAAGCTCCCCAATGGCTAAAAACAATGTTTTCTATCATGAGTAAAAACAAAGATCTGTTATCAAGCAGACACACTGAGCATCTGCAGAGTCCCAGGGGCCCCAGCACCTCCAGGCCTTTTGTGAATACTTTGTACAGTTGTTGCCAAAAGTGTTTGCAGTGAAAAACATTTTGTATTTTTAAACTTTGCTGCTTTGTTTTTTTTTTTTTTAGATTTTCTTTTTACATGTTTCTGAGGTATGATGGAAAACAATTATAAATACTTTATATGTTTTAAAAACTTGTATTGATAATAAATCAAATATATGTATAGAGTCGGTATTTACAATGTCGACCCTTCTTTGCCAGAACTTCTGCAATTCATTCTGGCATGCTGAAGATCAGCTTCTGGGACAAATCTTGACTGATGGCATCCCATTCTTGCTTGGAATTGATCACAACGTGTGGGCTTCTGCTTATCCACCCGCTCTTTGATGATCACCCATAAATTCTCAATGGATCCAAAATTTCAGTTCAATGATCTTTGAGCCACTTTGTTATAACTTTTGTCTTGTGACCTTGTGCTCCATCATGCTGGAAAACACACAGATCTTCATCAAACTGCCTCTGGATCACTGGAAGAAGTTGTTCTTGGAGGACCTTTTGATGCTTTTGTTCATGGCTATGTTTTGGGGCAGAACTGTGAGTGAGCCCACTCCTTTGAATGAGAAGCAACCCCACACATGGATGGTTCTCAGGATGCTTCACTGTTGGCACAACACGGGACTGGTGGTAGTGTTCACCTTTTCTTTTCCGCACAGTCAGCCTTCCTGTCATCCCAAACAGTCTGAAAGGAGCCTCATCAGAGAAAATAACTTTGTGCCAGTCTTCTGCTGTCCAGTTCTTGTACGTCCTGCGGAATTTCAGTCTGTGCTTAATGCTTTTCTTGGAGAGAAGTGGCCTCTTTGTTGCTCTTCTGCACTTCAGTCCACTGTGCAAAAGTCTTCACCTCACTGTGTGTGCAGAAGCAGTCACACCTGCCTGCTGCCAACCTTGACCAAGCTCTGCACTAGTGGCAACATGATTCTGTAGCTGATTCCTCAGAAGCAGATGGTCTTACTTATTGGGCAGTCTTGTGCGTCCCAAAGCCTTCTCCACCAAAAATGTCTTTGAAGTTTTTGATGATTCAGTAAATGTTTTTTTTCAGGTGTAATATTCTTAGCAGGAATCTACTTGTATGTCATGCCATTTTGATGCAAATCATCAATGGCTGCTTCTTTGGGAGTAACCATTGCTAATCTAAGACAAACATAATTCAGAGAACCCCTCTCTCTTTTATAGAGATGAGACTGTTCTTAGCATTTAATGCAAACAATTCTGAGACTTCAAATGAATGATAATCATTCACACTTTCCCCTGCACTGCTGATATTATACCAAAATGAGGCTATGTGATCTTTTATCAGGGCCAAAATACAGTACAAACTGGGATTTTGTGATAAAGTTAAGTTTATGCCAATTTAGCTCTTTACAATTCATTAAAAAGCCCCTGATTACTCTGCACAGTGGTATTTAGAAAACCTGCACCCAAAATCACTGAACTGGCAAAGTTTGTAAAATGTGATAGCTGCACCACTGCCAATACATTTGGCCATGGCTGTACTAATTTCAGAAATGTGCAGTTTATGGGAGTATGCACCACTATAGCACAATATCACTTAAGGACCTATGGTAGAGTCTCCTTCATTAGAAGAGTACAATCATCACAGTATTTCATTAAAAGTAGAATGGCCCCATTCATTTTAAAAATGAAATGCGCTGACTTCATAAGGCACAAAGCTCATTTTGTTTTTAGCATGAAAAACAGTATCGCGGTAAGAGTAGTTCTACAAACTACTACTCAAGTTCAGCCAGAGCTGAGGTATGTGTTGCCTACGGGCGCAGATTTCCAAAGCATGCTATTCACTGTTTGCACTTAAACACAACGGCGCGCTGCTGTGGGGGGACTGATAAGAACGCAAAGCAATGAAGCTATTCAAAATCAAGTTTAGGAATAAGTTGATTTTATATTACCAACATGTACGTGTGTGTTTTTTTCAGCTAAAACACCAGGAATAAAAGCTTGCACCTGTAAACCAACCAGACTGATGTTTAACAAATAAACCGATGAATGAAAATATTAACATCATGATTATGACGACAATGGAAGAGTTCGGAGCTCGCGGCGCGTTTACATCCTTTGAAAGCCACTCGTTAACATGATGTCACGGAAACTCCAAACGACCACATACGGAAATTCATACTTGAGAGTGAAACAAGTTCCGACGATTTTCTCTTTTAGTGAAAAGCGAGCTGAAATGTGAATAAAACTGGTACTCATTCATTGCTTTTCTACTCGCTGGTGCGTGCCGCCGACGCACGGACTACCGTGCGTGCGTGTCTGAACTGCTTTAGTCAGTTGAGGAAAGAGAAAAAAGAGGAAGCAGTTCCGCCCTTAAAAGTATTTCGAAGGCCGAGGAGAAAAGAGGCCAGAGCCAGCGACCCACTCAGCCCGCTTCAAAACCCAAAGTGAGCCCTGAACACGGTGCAGTTGTTTTGGTGGATGGGCAGTAGCTCTCCGGGGGGAACTTTGCTTCTCAGGTGCGTTTGTGCGTGAAAAACTTCGCTGTAGAAAATGAGCTTCATGTGAAGAACTTTCACTTTGAAGCCGCACCGACAAACCGTCCATGCTGGTCTCTTTTGCTAACATTAACGTCAACAGGCGGTTTTACTCTGTGGATTTTGGGGTCGGATTTTACTGCTGGTGAACGGCGGGACCCTGACTCAGACCCTAGAAATTTTTGATCCGGACAAATCCAGGTTCAAAACCAGTATGAGTGGAAAAGAGGAAAGATTCAAACTGGTGGTAGTGGGAGGAGGAGGGGTTGGGAAGAGCGCCCTGACCATCCAGTTCATCCAGGTACGGACTCTGAACCCGCTTTATTACACACCCGGGTTACTCTGTTGCATGTGGAATGTGTTGTCTCCAAGAATTACATTGTGTTCTGTGTTGTGAATACTCCTTTAAGGGCTTTATACGTGGGAGCAAATGACTTTAGGTGATAAAAATGTCTCCCTGGTGCGTCATTCATTCTCAAATTATTAGTAATTTAAAAAAAAAGTACAGCTTCCTGCTTCGGTTATTAGGTCTTATTGTAAGCGCCAACATTAAGTAGGTTAAGTAAAAATAAGAACAGTTACACATGTGAATAAATCGTTAATTTTCTTCTAGTGGCTCAATAGGAGAGCTCTAAAACAGTCTAGGGAGGTTTTTTCACAACCTGGCAACCCAAATAGGTGTTCTTGTTAATAGGTTTTTACTGCACTAGAAAGAATTGAGGCTATGCAATTTAGGTACACTCTAAAACCTTTATAAAGGGTGGATCTGTCATGGCAGTGTGTTAACACATTTGGTTTTGTTAGCAAAAATCAGTGACTATGTAGCTATGTTAAGTGGCATCTGACGCAAACTTAAGCAAACAGCTGCCTTCTGAAGGGAGGGATGCCTGGAGGGTAGGGAAAAAACAGAATAAAAAATGTGGACGTAAAGCAACATAAAGTATATGAGACTTATAATCAATGACAAAAACGTAACAAAATACTGAAATGGTCCTTTAACTGACCTGCTACTACTTGCTGCCAAAGTGTTGGAGGCCTCATTTCTAGTGTTCAGGTCATTTTACAGTACCGGTCCATTCTTTCCTGTGTATTCTGCTGCAGCAGTGCAACCAGCCAATCAAGGCCATACATGAAGGAAAACTAGATGATATTGTGCAGGCAGGAAAAACACATCTACAGTTAAGGCTAAAGTCCTGTTACAGACAGTGCTGGAAGAAGTCTTCATATACGGTTACCACGCTACAGCTCTTGGATAAATGTAGTGCAATAAAAAGTAAAGTATTTGCCAGTGAATTGTACTGAAGCAGAAAATGGACACACCCAAAAGTGCAAGTGGCTCAGATTTGCTGTTAAGTGTAAAATTAGAGTAAATGTACATATGTTCTACCACTGGTTAGAGGAACATATTTGGAGTCAAATCTGTCTCACTGGAGTATTCACAGTGCTGAATGTACTGCTGAATGTACAGCGTTGTTTTGAAGCCAGATCAGATGTACAAACTAGTAACAAATGGCCACTCTACAGTGGAGTTTGAAGATGGAGCCAGATATTTGTTGAGAGAAGTGTGTTTAAGAGATATAATCTATTGTTGACAGAAGGCAGCAGCTACAGTGTAAACTCTGTCCACAACAGTAGCTTGTTGCTAACATACTGTGTGCTCCACAGTCCTACTTTGTGTCAGACTACGACCCCACAATTGAGGACTCCTACACCAAGATCTGCACTGTGGATGGAAAGGAGACCCGGCTGGACAGTAAGGCTCTGACACACTGGACATGAGTTCATATTTCATACAGTTTGTCAGTGGGATTTCAGGGTGTGTGAAAGGCTTTGTTTGAAAGCAGAGGGTGTGTTGCACTCTGTGATATGACACAGGCAGTGTGTTTGCTCTCTGGATGTTTCATTCCCTTGTTAGGACTTGTACATGGCCAATGTTGCTGCGTCAAGCCAGGATCTAGTGTATTGTGTCACACTGCTGTTTCACCACACAGTAATATGTGAATCATCAGATGTATACAGCGTGTATGTAGTGAGTATAGTGTATACAATAATTTTTTGTATAATCACGTATATATGTGTCTTCAGTACAGCATTAAAACATATTGTATCTTAGTTTGGCACAGCCTGTTGCTTAATGAAAACTGTTCTGTACCAAAAAATAACAACATGCTAATAGCATACAGTAAAAGCACAGTGTTACATGAACACAGGCTTTGTGGCAGCTGAGTTTTTTCCACTAGCTTAATGACAGAAATAACTAACTGACACATACTGTGGGATAAACTAAAGTCATGATCTTATGCGTTGACAAAATCGTGATGACATTTAGTCCTTAAAGCTGAAAGGGCAACAGCCTGCTCACAACTAATTAGCTAACTTGCCTTTACCATGGGCTGGCTGTGTCAGCATGGAGCAGGTGTACATCTTGCAGCTGGTACTCAAACTCTTCATGGATTTATTATGTTTGAACTCTGGTACAGTAAACATTGCTGTAATGTTATTCCTTCAGACCCAGCAACAGGTAGATTAAGCATTAGCGAGGCAGCTGACTGGAGAGCTCCAAATTTCTTCCGCAGATCCCAACCGAGCTCATAATAATCACTAATACAGCAATAAAACTAACGTTATTTAAATTTACCTAACCATATATATCAAATCTAACCTAAAGTATCATTTCATATCTGTCAAAGAATGTCCATCAGGCTTCAAAATTCAAGAAATTAGTCCAACTTTGAGCGCATGCGCAGTCTGTGGAATTAATGCATCTTCTGATCAATGCATTATGCCTGTGACCTCGTGACGTATTTTGACAGTCAGGTCATTGTTCTAAATTCGTATTCATATTGAGGAAAGCACAAATTCACTTCGTATGTGTAATTTCTTGAAGTTGTAACTTTTTAAAGCTTATTCTCACAAACAAAATACACACTACATATTTTCAGAATCAGAATCAAAATCTGCTTTATTGGCCAGGTGTGTCGGACACACAAGGAATTTGACTCTGGTACATCGGCTCTTGATGTGCATGTACATATCGACCATACAAGGGGCAAGTAAACCAGCATAAGGCTGTGTAATATAACAAAATAAGCAGTATTAACAAGCAACAAACAATGCAAAATAAGCAGTATAAACAGGCAGTAAACAATGCAGACAGACAAGGAATGCTCATTGTGAATAAGGTGAAGTAGGAATAAAAATAGACCAGCCGTCCCTGGTAGGCTAGTGGTTAAGGTGCAGCGCTCTCGCCGCTGCGGCCCCGGTTTGAGTCAGGGTTGCATCAGGAAGGGCATCCGGCGTAAAACACGTGCCAAATGTCAACATGCGAGTTGTCAGTGTGACGATTTGCTGTGGCGACCCCTAAATGGGAAAAGCTGAAAAGTGACATTTTCTTTCTTACTTAAAAATAGAGACCTGTACGAATCTGTATAATCTGTACGAGGTATATTTACAGGTATTGCACTGAGGGTTATTGTCCAGTCATAACTCTCGTTGGTTAAGTGTTAATCAGAGTGACAGTCTGGGGGAAGAAACTGTCCCTGTGCCTGGTTGTCTTGGTGCACAGTGACCTGTAACGCCGTCCAGAGGGGAGGAGTTCAAACAGATTGTCTCCAGGGTGTGAGGGGTCTACAGTGATCCTCTCCACCCTCCTTTTGACCCGTGTGGTGTACAGATCCTCCATGGAGGGCAGGCTCACACCAATGACCTTTTCTGCAGTCCTGACTGTCTTCCTGAAGTCCACTGTCATCTCCACTGTTTTGAGCATGTTCAGCTCCAGGTTGTTTCGGCTACACCACAGGACCAGCTGTTCTACCTCCCGTCTGTAGGCTGACTCATCGCCGTCTCAGATGAGACCAATGGTTGTTGTATCATCAAACTTTAGGAGCTTGACAGAGGGGTCCTCTGAGATGCAGTCGTTGGTGTAGAGTGAAAATAGCAAAGGGAAGAGTACACATCCCTGGGGGGCATCTGTGCTTATTGTCCAGGTGCTGGATGTGGTTTTCCCCAGCCTCACCTGCTGCTTCCTGCCTGTCAGAAAGCTCGTAATCCACTGACAGGTGGGGGCAGGCACAGTGAGCTGGGTCAGTTTGGAGTGGAGGATGTCCAGGATGATGGTGTTGAATGCCAAGCTGAAGTCCACAAAGAGGGCCTGTGCATAGGTCCCTGGGGAGTTGAGGTGTTGCAGGATGTAATGCAGTGCCATGTTCACTGTATCGACCTGTTTGCCCGGTAGGCAAACTGCAGGGGGTCTACGATGTCCTTCAGGTGGACCAACACCAGTCTTTCAAAGGACTTCATAACTACAGATGTCAGGGCGACAGGTCTGTAGTCATTCCACCCACTGATGGAGGTTTTTTTGGGGACTGGGATGATTGTGGAGCATTTGAAGCAGGAGGGGACTTCACACAGCTCCAGTGACCTGTTGAAGATGAGCGTGAAGATGGGGGGTCAGTTCCTATAGCCAGTGATGCTTTTCAGGCTCCCCCACACAGACAAGGGGTCGTTGGCTGAAACCTGAGCTTTCAGCTTTTCAGAGTATCTCCTCTTTGCTGCTCTGATCTCCCTTGTCAGTGTATTCCTGGCCTGGCTGTACAGAGTCCTGTCCCCACATCTGTGAGTCTCGCCTTTGGCACGACGAAGCCGCTTGAGTCTGGCTGTAAACCAGGGCTTGTTGTTGTTGTTGTTGTATGTGCAGAAGGACTTTTTGGGCACACACACATCCTCACAAAAGCTGATATAAGATGTCACACCATCAGTGAGTTCATCCAGGTCTGTAGCTACAGTCTCAAATACACTCCAGTCTGTGCAGTCAAAGCAGGCCTGTAGCTCTGACTTAGCCTCCCCAGTCCAGCTCTTCACTGTTTTGACTACAGGCTTTGCAGCTTTAAGTTTCTGCCTGTAGGTTGGAATAAGATGGACCATATAGTGATCTGAGAGTCTGAGGGCTGTGCGGGGGACAGAGTGATAGGCGTCTTTTATCGTTGTGTAGCAGTGGTCCAGTGTGATTATGTCCCTGGTGGGGCAAGTGACATGTTGTCTGTATTTGGGCAGTTCGTGGGTGAGATTTGCTTTGTTAAAGTCCCCTAGAACAATGAGTGCAGAGTCGGGATGTTCTAACTCCATTCTAGTTATCAGTTCTGCCAGGAACTGCAGTGCGCTAGCGTTAGCCTGTGGTGTTATGTACACTCCCATTGGAATTAAACTGTTAAATTCACGAGGAGAATAAAAAGGTTTTCAATTGATAACAAGAGTCTCTAGGTCTGCGTTACATGTTCTCTGTAGCACTGTGACATCTGTGCACCAAATCTTCATTTATGTATGAAGCAGATTCTACCTCCTCTCTTTTTCATGGTCAGCTCCGTAACGCGATCCACTCTGAACACCTGGACGCCCGGTGTTTGTTTCGGACTGTCTGCGATTGAGTCGCTCAGCCAGGTCTCTGTGAAGCACAAAGCAGCAGAGCATGCAAAGTCAGAGTTAGTCCTGTTGATGAGAAGAATCTCATCCATCTTGTTGACCAGGGAGTGGAGATATGCCAGGTGGATAGATGGGAGTGGAGTCCGTGTTCCTCTCTGGCGTAGCCCCACCAAGGCGCCCGCACGCTGTGTGGAGAGTCCTCTTCTGACGATGGTCTAGAACCAACAAGGGGACAGCATGTTACACTAACATGAATCACTGCTGAGCAGTATAACATCCCAACTCACCTTAAAGTAGCAGCACCAGGACCTTTACCAGAAAATTTGTGTTTCAAATATTGACTGCACTTCTGGTAAGGTAGAGTACTACCCCAGACTTCAAGCTATTGTACACAGAAGTGTGGACAAGAGAAGGAACAAACCGTGCACTTCAGATTCTCATTGTCATCGTTTCTGTTACATTTAATGAGACTGTGTGGGTCATGTACATTTGTGGTTTGTTGCTACACTTACTGTAAACTCAGCTGTAGTCACTGAACTGAACTCCACAAGGAGAGGTCATCCAATCAGCAGACATCGGTACACAGATTTAAAAACAGTACAACAGTCACATTGGAAACAACTGTGTATACGTATATTACACCCCAAGAGGTTATCTTTTTTTCTAAGAAGTACGATGGACAAATTGGAACATTTTCTTTCCTCTGCAGCTTTCCAGGTGACGTTGTCGGACTGCAGTTTGTGTGCAGTTTGTATGATGTGTTTAATGAAGACCACTGCAGTCATATACGGGTCGTACCACAGTAGGTCCTCAGAGTGTAGCTGTTTCTTCCCCTGCACAGCCACCTATAACACTTGCATAATGCTTTTTACTGAAAAATTGTACCTTGTAAAACAGTATATGGGTAAAAAAAAGATACAACCCTTTAAAGGAAAGATGTTCACTGGTACAGTTATGTATGTACAATACCCTGTAATAATTCAACAGTTTGGGTGTTTTACTTAAAATGTGTGTTGGTTTGAATATTTGTCACATCTACTGTTATTATAATATACATATACTGAATTTATAATTATACAAACAATTTATTAGACAATTTGTTGCTGTTTACTTTGATACATACAGTATATGCCATACTGTAGCTGAAACAGAGGCAAGCCAAAAATGCTAATGAAATATTATCACAGTTTTTGCATTTTTATGAAAGAAGACTAAATAACCGTATAGTCAACACTCCAATGTTTGCACTGGTTTTTGTTACTGGGTTCATTCATCTCCCTGAAATAGAATTACCAGGACTTAACCGGCAGAAAAAATAGCCCAAATCTTTTAGGTTTTGTACAGCACCATAACGTTTAGATGCAGTAAACGAATCAACTGACAATTTAAACCAAATTGAGCTTCTCCTGTAAGTTCTGAGGACTAGATGTAAGTGTTGGGGTGGCTTTTACTGTGACTGCTCCTACAGTAGAGTCCTGACACTTTCAGATCCCCTTTGTGTTCTTTCATGTATTTTACTTTTTATCTACTACTATTTTATCTACTACTAGGTATTTTATGCTTTTTTTTATTTTGTGTAAAGTGTCAGTTGACAATTGTGTTTAAGTGCTATACTGTATAAATAAATGTTGATTGATTGATTTAGTGAAAAGAAACCTGACTTGGTAAGTAACTTGATAGTTCTCCCATAGTCAAAACACTGACATTAGTAAGTGTGGCTTCATATGGAAAGAATGTTTTTCTAATGCACAGTCTCAGCTGTTTACAGCACAGCACAGTAGTTGACCATGTTGACATTTGTTAGCAACAAAAGATTAAACTTCAGCTCAAGTCTGTGAACAGTACTGTAAATTCTTGCATTTTATAAATACAGTGTGAAAAGAGGAGTCTTCCTTAATGCAAATGATGACCTGCAAAGTGGAACTGAATCTCACATGGTATGTGGTGTTAACCCGCTGCATAATGTCCACTCATATGTCAAATGGTCTTATACTTGTATAGTGCTTTTCTATGCATTGCAGCACACTCAAAGCGCTTTCACACTACTTGGCCATTCACCCATTCACACTCACACATTCTCCGGTTAGGAAACGACCCACTCTACCTCCTAAGCCACAGCTGCCCCCTGATATGCAGTCTTTATATACTGTAGGTCTTATTAGTCTGTTATTAGGTGTGTTATATTACCTCATATTGTTGTTAGCTCTTGTTATGTGTTATACTGTATCTTATTGATGTACATACAGATGTTGAAGTATGTGCTGTGGGAGGTTTAAAGGGTGGGACCAGCATATGATGACACACACACACACACACACACACACACACACACACACACACACATACACTCTGTCTAATAACCAGCTCCTTCAGAGTCCGGGACAGAAAATATTTGTGCTTCACATGTGGCAACGTGACACAGCTGAGAATTTGTTTCTCAGAAAATTAAGGAGCTGGCATGATGGGGGGAAAAAAAGAGCTTTGAGATGGATCAGAGTGATCGCAGAGGTTCTCCTGTGCTGTGAAATGACTAAACTCTATCTCCATAGTGCTTTTAAAGTGCCCATGACATGCCCATTTCCAGCCATCTTTAATCTTTAATCTTGGGCACCTCTAGATTACCTTTGCACCCCTCATAACTCCATATAATCTGTAATTATTTCAGAAGGATAAAACCGGAGAGCCTCCTCCTGAAAATGAGAGGATAGTTTGTAGATGTGTGCAACTCCTGCTGCTGGTGTTGTCTCAATCTGTTTCTCCATCAAGATGTGTTTCCCTTAATCTGAATCCTAAAATAATCCTAACCACAACCACTTAAGGGGGGGTGCTACATCAAACTGAGTTTTGAACAGGGAAACACTTTTAGATATGACCGGTCAGGAAGCCAGGACAACACATAAACAAGTACGTTACGTTTTCAATAATGACAATACCTCAAATCCTACCTGATATGTTTGAGCAAGAATATGAAAGTGGGCAGCACAAAGAACAGCAATGGCATTAATTAATTAGAATTTCTCCTCCATAGATAAACAACGGTATATGTACCAGTGAAAAGAGATGTGTAACACTCTAAACAAAGCGTGTAATTGAGAAACCCCATATTTTAACTGGGTTAATGCAGACATAGTAACTTCTCCAGCCTTACAACAGTTCTCTACAAAAACAAAACATTAACAGACATGCACCATGTTACAGGCGACCATATACATTCCCAACAGTGTTGCATCGACAATAACGTCATGGATTATTAGAATCCTTGCGCCAACCCACAACACATCACATGCGGCAACAAACAGGTACTTTTCTCCGGGGAAATGCAGCATTGATCAGCTGACCATTCACCACCCTGGGGTGCTTCACTGGCCGGCTGATTGTAAGCTAGACCCGGTCAGGTAAAACAGCGAGTCCCTGTACAGGAACATTCCTGGACATGCAGTAACCTCAGGCCCTTAAGACATGTCTCATATATTACAGCAAACTCTGACTGTTGTCACACTGTTATCTAGTGACTATGTCTCATGGCCTAGACTCATTTAAAATGTATTTATCTTCCTCTTCAGCACCACGGACAGCTAGCTCTGATTGGATTGTTGTACTGACATCTAATTATCGCCATCACCACTCAACCTTCATTGTGACCACGCTTCAACACAACCATTACCAGCTCTAAACACAACTATTTATAATGGCACAATATGTTACATGTTGTATCTGAATTCTCCTATATGTAATGTAACACATACTGTACTTTAACCAAACTATTGCATCACATGGAAACATGTCCATGGAAATACTATTTCTGCAGTTTTGGTGCATCATTCCTGCACATCCAGCTTTGTCAGGTTGGTTATGGCAGGAAAGGGAACCTATTTCAATACAGCATATCTGTGTCTGTGTGTGTGTGTGTGTGTGTGTGTTTGTGTGCGTCAGTCTTGGATACAGCAGGTCAGGAGGAGTTTGGGGCGATGAGGGAGCAGTACATGCGCTCAGGAGAAGGCTTCTTACTGGTGTTTGCACTCAACGACCGGGGCAGGTAATGCAAAATGTGTGTTTGTGTTTGGTGGACTCAATGTGCTGAATGGTTTATCAGTGTAACTGATGCTGTCACTCACTCAGTGGCAGTCTGAGGAAGTGCAGAAAGCTGTCATTGGGGGTGACACATGACATGAGAAAGAATGAAGTTGATGAGGTGTCACATCAAATAATTTGCTGCTGTATTGTTTTCAATGTAGTACAGGACACAGGTGATTTGCACTATTTTCAGTTTTAATTTTGATTTACACACTGTCCCAGCTTTTTCTGATATGGGGTTGTAGGAGTTTTTACACAGCTTTTCTCACCACATTTACTCTAGTTACTTTTGTAATTACTGTGAATGTGTAAACATGTGACAGAGAGAAGGAAACCTGTTTAATCACCTGCAGGTAGATTGAGAATTTGAAACCACATTTCCTTCATTACAAATGACCTGGCTGATCATCTGAAACCGAAGAATGTTTTCTGTAACATCCAAACATAAAAGGGAGGAGCAGATTTGACGGGTCATTGTGGTGTCCATCATCAGTGCATAGTAGATGCTTTTCTGTAGATCTGAATCCATATGAACCTGTGCTTGTTGATGCTGTGACTAACAGCTACCATGAGGTCCAGAAGTTCCACACCCAGATCCTGAGAGTGAAGGACCGAGATGACTTCCCCATGGTGCTGGTTGGAAACAAGGCTGACCTAGAGCAGCAGAAAGTGGTATGTCACACACCCATGGACCTGTATGCTGTGGCGTTCTCACTCTTCCTGGCTGGAATAGAGTGGAGTGCAGACAGAAATCTAATCACTTCTCATCCCCTTCAAACTGAATTCAGTTATTACACAAGCTAATATGATTAGCTGGATGGGGCCACCTTGTTCAATAGAGGAGAAGCAAAGCACATTTCAAACACAGCTGTGGCCTGGAAGGGCTGGAAAACCACAGCATAACAACAAATAAACTCAGAATATACAAGTGTAAGTTAACTTATGATTTAACTCCAAAATGAAAGTGTCTTTCTTACACCAGTCTAACTACTTGTAAATTAAACAGCAAAAATCATGGAAGCAATCTGCACCCTTTAACATTTGGTTTATTGAGCTGTTTTTCTTTGTGTAGAGGGTCACACACCCAGTCCCAGACAGATATCCTCCCACATTTGTACTGAAACAATCTTCTTTTGTCTGGACTCATCTCCTCACAGTATAGTCATGTGCACGTGGATTTGTTATTGAGAGCTGTGCAGGTGAAAAGGCTGAGGTGACAGTGGGCTCTCTTACTAGAGGCTGGGCCTGGGGATTGTTTGTTTGTCTGCAGATCCCCAGAGAGGATGCTCAGGCGTTTGCCAGAGAAAACAAGATCCACTATATGGAGGCTTCGGCCAAGAATCGCTACAATGTGGATGAATCCTTCTTGGAGCTGGTGCGAATTATCAGGTACAGTCCTTACTTATTTCACTTAATTTTTGTGTGCTTCGGGTTAAAATCCAGGCCCCTGCTGAAGCCGACACAAGCTGCCTGGTGTTTTTCTATTTGGATCAGTTGAGCACATTGATTCTGTCATTTTCATTGTTTCTGCGCTGGTTTGGTTGCGTGTTTTGTGTGATGCAGAAATCTTCTGGCCCATGTTTTGGTTTCTAACATATGACTGAAGATTCAGACTGAAATCAACGCAGTGTTAAAACAGCAGTGGTAGGAGTATGTTGTTTAAGGGGCTGGTGAGAAATAAGATATGGTCCTGGACATCCAGTTAGAGTACCAGATTGTGTTCAGAGGCTTCTGAAACACTGACTCACTGCACAGTGGCTTGTAGTAGGTAGACAGGGTTTCACAGCAACTTTTTTTAAATCTGTTGTCACTACATTCTTGAAGTAAACAGTAGAAATACACATTTCAAAGTCATGTACTAGGGAGCTTGCACGCATTTCACTATCCTGTGCAGTGCTTTGCTGGATGATGTTTCTGGAACTTGTGGTGTTGCAGCAAACATTGAGTTCAACTCTGTGACCAAACAATTTTGCATTGTTTTGTGGTGATTCCCCTGTAATTAGTCCACAGATGGACTGGCTCCCATGACCTCCAATAAAAAAACAGAGTTGGATAGTTTTCTGTAGGGCTACTGTCAGCCTGAATATGGCATAACTGTCCCTCTGGTTGTCCTAGTCCATGCAGACGCAATCTCATAATGGTGGTTACTGTTGCTGCAGCACTCCAATCCTTCAAGATACTTGGAACTTGAATTTGGTATTAGCTCCTGAGCAAAGGCAAATATTGTTCTAGGAACCTGTCCAAAAAGTATGGAACAAATCCTCAGAATAATTCATTCCTCTCCTTCTGTTTCTCTTTGTCTCCATCCACAGAAGATTTCAAGAGATGGAGAGTCCTCCTCCTCAAACTCATCACACGAGGAAACAGAAGAGTGGTGGCTGTCCCTGCGTCCTCCTCTAAGCACTGTTACTATGGACACCAAAGCCTCATCCCTCCAAAAAGGAGTGTGTTTATGTGTGTTTGTTTGTTTGTGTGTGTGTGTGTGTGTGAGAGAGAGAGAGAGAGAGAGAGAGAGAGAAGGTCCATCATTATGTTTTCAGAGGGTTTCACTTACATTTTTGCTAAAAGCAACTTTGAAATCAATGTAAACTTCTATTTTAATGAGGACCCAAAGGGAGAGGTGTCAATAGCAACAGAGTTAGCTTGGTGGAGAAGCAGGAAGTAGGTCCTGTGACTGGTACTGTACTCTTGACATGGAGTAATAATAATATTACTGCACATAGTGCCAACATACAGAAATATCACACTGTCATGTGTCATAAAAATGACCAAACTGCTGTTAGAAAGGATGCCAAGTCCTACAGGTACAGATGTTAGCAGTGTCATCATCATCACCTCTGCTTTTAAAATCACACAATTTATTTCCAACACTCTGCCTTTAGTGTACAAAATGGATGTGCTGAAAAAGTGTATGGAACATTTCAAGTTGCTCATGAAATGCGGCACGCCCAAAGACAAGGCAGAACATCCATGTTGTTATGTCCCGTGCCTTCCTGTAGGGGGCAGCGGAGCCCCACAGCAGAACTGGAGGAAAAAAGGAGGAAACAAACAGTAGCTGTAATTACATTCCCAAATGCTGCCTCCTTCCATTGTTCCAGTTATGTTGCCCTACAGAGATAGAGTATAACATCCATAAATATCAGATGTTAATTTATGGGCCTGATCAGATTATACATGATCCAGATGCAGACTATTTCAGTTTGGGAACTGCTGTTCCCTTAGCCATGCACAGCTTACACTAGCTGAATGAGGAAGAGTAATTCAAAACTGGATCAGCGTACAGTTATTTGACAGTATTCATGGCCTGAGCATTTCAACATATGAGGGATGGGCAACAAGTTGGCCTGACAAATACTCTGCATGTTCATTACTTTGGTGAAACATACACTCTATTCTGGTACTACTGTCTTCCACATTCCTTTAGTTTGTATATTGTGTCTAAAAATGACTTTTTACTTCTCACAGAAATCAAAAACAGCACATTTTATATTTTCAGCATTATTAGCATTTCTCAAAGAATCAGTGTTTGACAGTGTCATTCATAAATACAGGAATACATGGTGTGTTTTATTTTTCCACCACTGTTTTGTCATGATCCAGACTTCACTGAGCACGATGTGTCACCTCTGTGAGATCCACACCCCAGTATGTCACCCTAACCAGCCAGTAGAGGTCACTGTTGCAGCAGCCAACAGTCACACAGTGACCAAGCACATCCAGGCCTGGGCTAGCTGATCCTGGGCCTTCGGTGTGAGTTTAGCCTGTGTGTCCCCGATATGTGTTCTTCGTTCATTCTTTGTTCTTCATTGGCAGTGAGACAACCAAAAAAAAAAAAAAACAACTCATCTTTAAACTGTTTTTTTTTGTCAGTGCTTTTTATTTACAATAAAAGATTCACTCAAGTTGGTGCACACCAAGAGAAAATCTTTATTAAATTCACTTGAAAAAAATCTTGCGGTACCTTACCAATATCCGGTTCCATGTCATCGATTTGTAATACTTCAGGAATTTTGGTTTCACTTCTTTTTCTTTTTAATATGAATTCATATTTATGTCTACCTTACAACATGCAGAGCAGTTTTATATTGAAATAAAAGTCAAATGACTCTTATATATCATTAAAACATTTATCTGAAGATTTTTCTTTGTCATGTCTTGTATGACTTTTCAAACTGAAACAGTTCTGAGTGATTTTCAGGCACTGACCATAAATTCTCAGCTTCTGGTCCATGAACAAGATGACACACATTACACATCCAAATCACTGAAGCAGTGAGCTAAAGGTGTTGGTTTAGTCATATGAGCGCTGTATCCCAGTTCAGACACTGTACACTAACATGTATGTACTGGATTGTCAATGTATGTTGACAGTGCACAGTTTTTAAGTTAGCATCCAAGAAATGTGTTGTACTGTTTTGTCCTAACAGTGGTGATGCACAGTGTAGGCCAGCAGGTGTCAGACACTGGAGTTAGAGCTTCATCATTCCTAGGACACTGTAAGATTCATTTACCAGCATGTCTGAAGTTTGTTTTGAAACAAAAGATGAAGATGGTGTGGTGTCATTCTCAGGTTCCAGCCTATATGATTAGGATTCTATCAATGTGCTCTATATACTGTAACTGATGATGCCACAGTGGCCCGGCCCTTGCAGTGTGACATCGATAATGATGAAACAAGTCATTCTTTGGCCATTTTATGTATGGCCCTAGTAATACACCAAATCCTGCCTCCTACAGCTGTCAGTGTTTAAAAAGAAAAAACTGAAGATTTCCTCAATGATCAGTATTGAATACAGAGAATCACCTGTCTGCTTTTAACCCGTTAGTGTGTCAGCTGTAGGTACGTTTGTGGTAATTAAAAAAACATGAAAAATGGGCCATATGAGCACATTATCAACCATAAGAAGTTAAAACTAGATTTTGACACAGTGCTTCTCTATAGGACAGGGTCAGAAGATTAGCTATTAACATCTTATAGCTGATATTGTATTTCAATGATGTATGATTCACTTCATCTGTCATTTTTCATTTTAATAAAACAAATTGTATGGCAGTGAATATGGGGTCTTTGAGGCCCCCTGCGGAGCTGGAGCAGTTTGCCAGGTTCTCATTATGCTGTGTGATGATGCTTTTATTTTGTGTCAGGGCTTTCAATAAGGGCTTCTTGACAGATGTCATAAAAGTACACATAAGCACAAGTTAGGCAGCACAGACATGTTTTTGTCTATTAAACTAACTTCCTATAATCATATATTCAAATTCCTACATGTTATGTCTCTCTATTACTAAACACAATTTTTAAAATGAGCCAACACCCCTCTAAAGAGTGTGTATGCTGTTATAGGCCTAGTTTTAGTCATGTGGACCTAATTGCCTACACACACACACACACACACATTTTTTTGTCTCCTGGGGACCTTTCATTGACTTAAATTCATTTTGCACTAACAGTAAAAATAACCATTAATAGCTAACTCTAAACCAAGTCGTCACTATCAAATTCAGTAATTTACATAGTAGAGAACAGCATCTCGTCACCACGAGGAAGGCCCAGTCCTGACGTGTGAAAACAGGTTTCATTCTCCACAACGTGAATCTAAACCAGGCGCTCGCTACTGGTAAACAAAGCATGTGGTGAGGGTGGCGGGTCCTCCCTCTGTCTACTATGTTGTCCAACAGGTTTGTGATGTGACGTTTCACTAGGAAAACAGCACAATCGTTTGTGTTCTGACGGATTCAGCGCAAAACTCGACACAAAGAAGTTCAGTTTAAAGAAATATCGTTGCTCACATGTTTCCGCAAACCTAGAAGAATAAGTGGTGTTTTGATCGAAGGAAGCTTGACAGACGGAGCGACCTGCAGCCGAGGAAGGAGGCAACAGCGTTGGATAGGTGTGTGTTCGAGGCTCATTCTTCACATACTCGGGCCTCGATCTCTCCCACTGAAACTCTTCCTTGTCGTTGTCCAGTTGGATGCTTCAATGGCAGCCTTGTCAGCAGCGTGGATCCCCGTGTTGTCTCTGCTGCAGTTGGCCCACTGCTTTGTCGTCTACAGACATGCTCCAGGTAAACAACACCTCATCTTATAAGAGCTGGTCAGTTCGTACAAGGGCTCACTAAACAAGGTAACATTAGAGTCAGTCTAGAAAACAACACACACATGCTTTCCCTTGTTTTCTGACATATCTGCAATGTTACAATGGTGAATTATCAGCTTAGACGTGACCTAAAGCTAAAAGAATTAGGTGTATGTATGTTCTAGTATTTCTATCCAGAGGCAACTTAGTTTATACACAACTTGCAAACTCTTGCTGGAATGGTCATATCACCAGGTAGTTGTGCGTTCATGTGACCTTGCCTGACATCCACCAGTGCCACTGTCAAGGCAGAATTCTTCGACTGCTCATGGTTTTGTGGATATATTTTACCTACTGCTGCTGCACTGTGACCAGAGGATGTGGAGAAAAATACAGGGCCTGAGGTTACTGCATGTCTGAGAATGTTCCTGTACAGTGACTGGCTGTTTTACCTAACTGGGTCCAACCTACGATCAGCCAGCCAGTGAAGACCCTGCAGCAGTTAGTGATCAGCTCATCAATGCTGGATTCCCCCAGAACACAGTACCTGTTTTGTTTTGACTGCTTGAGGCCAGTGTGTCTGCTGCATGCGATGTGATGTGGATCAACAAGCGCATTAACGACCCATGATGTTATTGTCAGTGCTATCCTACCTGTTGGAATTAATTTTACTAATTTGGGACAGTATGTGGTTATGTAGGGGAAGGGAAGATGCAGCGACCACTGGTTGGATTTACCAACCTTGTAACTACTTGAAAAGGGAATGTCAGGCAAGCTCACATGAACGCGCAATGGCCTAGAGCTTATGACCATTCATGGAAATCCTTAAACTACCACATAATACCTAATTTTGTTAGAAAAAAGTTTCACGAGAGTTTGTGAGACTTAAAAACTGAGCTCTTTCTGCATAAAAGTACTAGAACATACATACACCTCATTTTTTGAGCTTTAGATCACATCTAAGATTATAATTCACTGTTGTAACATTGTAGATAAGTCAGAAAACAAGGAAAAGCATGCCATGGGCCCCCTAAATCTGGAAATCAAAGTAATTTCTTTTGAGCCAAAACCAATGAAAAACAAGGCTTCACAATCAGTATTTCTTAATATTTTATGTTTTGTTATGGGGTATGGGGTTTGTTGCTAAGTGTATAAAGCCTGTGTCCTGCAGGAGACACAGTGTTGGCGGACAAGCAGTCAGCAGCCTCCTTTCTATCCCGCTCCCTGCTATACAACAGCTGGGACTTTGAGATGGTGGTGCCTGGCAATCTGGAGAGGGAGTGTATCGAAGAGACATGCAACTATGAGGAGGCCAGAGAGGTGTTTGAGGATGACGCTACAACGGTAATGTTGCTGGGGGTGACTCCGTCTCTACTGTATATTGATAGGGTATAGTTTTGCAGTGTACCTTATCAGACAAGGGCAATCTTGTCTCAAACTTAACTTTGATGCCAACTTCTAGGGAGGTAACAGTTTTGTTACATTTTGTGTGAACAGTGACAAGAATTAGACACATTAAGTGTTAAAGGCGCAGTGTATAATTTAGAGGGAGATATTAGCAAAAACAAAAGGTAGTATTTGTAATTATGTTTTCATTAATGTGTAATCACCTAAAACTAAGAATTGCTGTGATTTCTTTAGCTTAGAGTGAGCCTTTTATATCTACATAGGCAGCAGGCCCCCTTTTCACAGAAGTGGTTTCTGCAGTTTCAAGTTGTAGTAGTAGCTTCAATGCCTGTCTCTCTCTAAACTTAATGTTGCTGGGTTTGATTGTCTGGTCTTTGACTTTGCAAATGGATTAAAAAATGTGTATCCTGCCCTCAGAAACTCCTAGAGTAAGATAGCATTTTCCTTTGCTAAGGTTAGCCTGTATTAGCATGAAAACAGCTAGGTAAAAGTAGCAATAAAACGCTGTCACAGTGCAGAAAAACAGAACACTAATATTCGCTAAATGGCTAATCAGACTTTGCACATACCCTCAAGCATACATGGACACATACGCTCACTGTAATTTTACATGGAAGCTATGACTTATAGTTTTACATACTAAATAGGTTAACTAAATTCCAATTCTAAATGTATATCTATGTATAGTAACCTCATCACTTAACATATTGCTACTTAATGTGGTCATAGACAACACCATGTGACCTGATGGCCACTGTAAGTTCTCTCACACTTGAAAAAAGAGGGTAGGGGTTGCAGGATATTCAGATGGATATTCATGGGATATTCAACTCCACCACTAGATGCCACTAAATTTTACATACTGCACCTTTAACTGAATGCCTTTTAGTTATTATTGCAGCATTGTCTCATTTGCAATCTTGTGGAGAAAGATTTAGTACTAGTCATGTAAAATATTTTTGTTTAGCATTTAAGGAAAGGATATCCACATTGGCTTAAATGTAGTGTTCTTCAGTGGTTACCTGCTGTATTTCTCCTTCTTTGTTTTAATGAAGCAGTTTCATCAAATTTTCTTTTGCTTCCATCCTCAGCAAAAATTTTGGGCCGACTACGTCAACAGCCAAGGTAATGTTGGTAAAGCCTTGGTACTGGGTTCGTTCAGAAGACTGTAGTGTTTTCAGACTGAAAATGCATAAATACCAATAAATACATCATTATTATAACCAGTATTACAATTATAACTTCTGTGTTTCTAATATTTCTTTATAAATATGATCTATTTTAATAAATGTGGGGGTGCTATTGATTGTTACGACACAGCCTTAGGGCCAATCTTATTGTCTCTCAAAACTAATGTCAAGACTGTGTGTATGCTTAGTTATGATGCAGACTTTCCAGTTTAGAACTGGACAAATTACAGCAGCAGTTTGGAATACGCAAGGTACCAGGTGGAAGTGGACAGTCATGACTGTAGTGATAAGTGAATGACTAGCTGACTGACTCGTATGAAAACTGTTTAAGAAGCAATAGTTGACATTAATGATGTTTGTCTCTGCAGTGCATACACCCAGAGTGGATGTGTCAGGGTTGGTGGCAGGGATCCTGGCTGTCGTAGTGTCTGCCATTATTGCCATTGTGTTGGGAGTCTACTGCTACAAAGCCAAGAAGAAGAATGGTCAGAGATCAGCCCAGTAAGTTCGCTCTAATGTGCAACATTTCCAGAGGTTTTTTTTAATTTAGTTTGAGAACAAGTTAGCAGATTTAAAATGAAGTGTGCCACACTGATTCATACTCCCTAAGAATAATTCTTATTTGGAGACTTTAAGGCACAGTGTGCTAGTCAAAGATCATACTGTATGTCCTCCAGAGGATCTGGAAGCTTTGATAGGTTCAGTTTTAGGCTGCCTTTATTGTAAATCATGCACTGTACCTGTAGACAATGCAACCTTCAGAAGAAAATTTTCACCTGGTGTCATGGATGGATTACCTCAAGGGATTACCGTGCACAGGTCCAAGAGGTCAGGGGGCCCCTGGGGCTGTGCCTCTGTTTGAACTGACATATACTGATCAGGCATAACATTATGACCACTGGTAGGTGTAACATTGACTATCTGTTACAGTGGCACCTGTCAGTGTGTGGGGTATGTTAGGCAGCAAGTGAACATTCAGTCCTCAAAGTTGATGTGTTGAAAGCAGGAGAAATGGGCAAGTGTAAGGATCTGAGTGACTTTGACAAGGGCCAAATTGTGATGGTGAGATGACTGGGTCAGAGCATCTCCCATACTGCAGGTCTTGGTGGGTGTTCTTGGTCTGCAGTGGTTAGTACCTACCAACAGTGTCTAAAGAAGGACAAATGGTGAACTGGTGACAGGGCCATGGCTCACTGATGATGAGGTTGATCTACTGTAGATTAAACTTTTAACTTCCATTTGTACTTTTCAAAAGATTAAAATTTATTTGAATCTGTATTAAAATGGTTGAAAATGAGTCTATTGGTCTCCATGAAGAGAAAGAGTCAGGGGCTGTAGTGGTGATATCACACCTAGAGTGGTGAGGTTGTTGAATTTGTCTAAAAAAATTCTCTCTAACTTGTCCTCCTGACCACAGTTTTCACTCCTTTTACATAAGTTTTTCACTGAATTGTAGACACATCTGTGCTCTTCCTGACAGTAGAACTGTGGAAGCAAATGGATTCACAGAAGATGCACAGTGAGCTGCACAGTGACACGAGTGCCAACCAACTGCCACACTGACTCCTATGTAAACAGTATTAGGCAGGTGGTCATAATGTTATGGCTGATCGGTGTATTAGTTAGTTTGAAAGTCATAGAGCTCAGTTAAAAGACAAAATAAAAACAGAGACACAAAACAACCACAAAGACAAAGTGACCATAAAAAGGCACAAAATTACTTCACAAGGATGCAAAATGGCCAAAAGTATTTCAATGACATGAAAAATGACCATGAAAACAGGCAAAGCAACCACAAAGAAACACAAAATAACAAAATGACTAAACCATAAAGACTACAAACAATGTGACTGTGTTTTTATGGGAGTCCTATGTAGAAGAAGTGGGGTCTTTTAACCTCTTTGTGCCCAGGGGCCCATTGTCTCTTAATCCATTCATGCCTGGTGTTATTTCTTCTGGGGATGATTAATTTTAATTATGATGTAAAGAACCCACCAGTTTGTGAGTTATATGGTACCTACTAATTTGACATTTAAAATTTGATTCTAAATTTTGTTGCAGTCAGAAACAAGAAATGCTCATACCTTCAAAAACAGTTTTTTTCTGTTAGACAACCTACATCATTTCTCTGTTCTGATGTAATTACCTATGCAACCTATTCAAAATTCGATATTCATTCATGCACATATTCATTCAATATTCAATTTCTTTAACGTTCCATCTGTCTAGAGGCCTAGCTGCAAATAAAAAGACACCGAACATTATTATCAGCAATAATTTTGTAAAATAACCAGTAGAACCATGAAACCTCGAAGTGACTCGTGCTCACTGCCAGCAGTGATTTGGACCATAACAGTGTGCAGCTACTTCAGGTGGTCACATGGCTGTCATCTTGTGTTTTGTAGTCCTTTGAGAGTTTCACATATCATGATGTCTGACCCCTGACCTTTTCTCTAGCACCACCATCTGGTGAAGATGTCCACTCCGACACAATGCAGTCCAAAAAAAAATGTATTATTAAATTGGCTGAACACATTCATTTTTAGTCTTTAGTTTTGCAGTAACTAAACTGGCTTGTTGAATTCTTCTGAGTTTACTTCCTGTGCTTTGCGCTGTGTGCTGGTCCAGAGTCCCAGTGAGGATGGCAGCAGATGAACGTCCAGCCCCAGAGACTGTGCCCCTGGCAGGGATCGTTGCTCCAGGTCTGCCCTCTTACAATGAGGCTCTGAACCGCAGTGGGCAGCATGACGCCCCACCACCACCTTATTCAGGGTAAGTGGGTGGTCCAGTATGCACAGACACCTTATATGGATTCAGAGAAGTATTTATGGCAGTCTAAAATGCAGCTAAACGCCCCCAGAAAGAATGAAACAGGTGTAGACCTGTTTATTTCAATTCAAGAGAAACACAGAGATATTCAACATGTTACCAACCAGTTCCTCCACTGTCCTCTACACACCCTGTTACATCATCCAACACAATAAAATCAGCATTCAAAATCATAACAGCTAGGACAAGTACACTGAACTGAACCTGCACATATAGTATATTCTGTTTATTCTTAAACAATACTTCAGGAATGAATGACTTCTCAGTGTAGAAAACTGAAGACTCTCTATGTAACTATATTAAATAAACAGCTGTATCCCCACCCAAAAATGAATAGAATAAATAAATACACCTGTGATTTTGTATGTCTGTTACAATATATCCTTCCAAATAACAAAGTTACAAAGAAAAATTACATTTGATTATCTTTTAAGAAATGCAATCCTTTAAAAGCAAACCCATTTCCTAACAAAGTGCATAATCTTAAAAACATTTTGTTTGATATGATGCACAACTTTTATATTCATACCAAACACAATAGCTACTATCTCACAGTGTGCTGCTGCCCTGTCTTTTTGAAGCTTGTTTCTAGGTTCAAAAACACACTGTTGGATCTTCATGCACAAGGTTTGTGTGTCTAAGACTTGTCACAAAGATTCTTCCTTTCTTTGACCACAGGAGTGCGCCATCAGCACCCTCCAATCCAGGAGACAACGAATGACAGGGCTCACATGGTTGAGGGTCACTGTGCTCTGAACTTTTAAAAAGGCTACTGCAAATTTTTTATATACTGTATTTATGAGTGGATTAGGACACAGTCCCAGAATGCACATTACTGACATCCGCATGTTGGCTTGCCAGGAGTATGTCCTCCACAGGTGTGATGCTTTTCAGTGCCTGCAGCAGAGGGTGGGATCAACAACATCAACAAGTGTGGTGTGTTTGTAACGTACTTTTGAGCAGAGAAGCTAAAGAAGATCAATTTAGAGAGAACGTTGGTTCTTCAAGGACACCCTGAAATGTTTTTAGGCTGTATAATAAATTGCATACCAATTACCCATGTCATTTTATTCGTCCATTGCGACTTGCCAAGCCAGTAGAGACAAGTACGTGTGTATAAACTTGATCTCAGGAGGGTGCCTGCACATCATTCTTAACAAGTTGCAACTTGTGTGTTTGTTGTTTGTCACGGTAGTTCATAATTGAAATACAGCTGCTACAGAAGCCAGGCTCTTTGATGATCACACTCTCTTCCACGATGCTACACAGACTGCGCTGTTGTGCGTTATGTGTGTGCGTGTGAGAGAGAGAGCGAGCGAGTGAGGGAGGGAAGGAGAGGATGAACGCCAGCCCAGTCATTCCTCTTAAAAATGGCGTCTTGTGAACAAAATGAGCGAAATAGCGCTCCTGTGGAGTGAACGAGCAGCGGCGGAGCAGCTGTCGGCGCTGGATCGATGTGAATATCGCTTCGATTATTAAAGCTGCTGAAGAACGCAGAGCATCTGTTCTACGGCCCATCAGCTTAACACAGGAGACAATAGACAGTGAAATATATGGGGAGAGGAGAGGAGGGAGGAGGTGCTGCTGGCCCTCCCCCTCACTATCTGTCCATCTTCATCCGGCCCTTTCTTTCATGGAGAGGAATTATCCCGCGGCAGGCTTCGGAGACCTAGGGGCTGGGACGGGATGGAGTTACGACAGATCGGCCAAAGCAAGGTAGGCTTCAGTGGCGAAAGCATGGGCACCCATACGCTCGTGTGGGTGCACTAGTGTGCGTAACTGGCTCTAACAATGCCATGGCATAGCGCTGCCAGTGGCTCTGCATCAGCCAGACTGCATGGTGTTGCTATATGACCACCAGTCTCAGGTACAGCCAGCCGTATTGTCATTCGGGGGAGGGGGAGGGGGGCATGGGGGCTGTCTCTAAAATGCATGGAATGCGATGGAAGGTTAATAGTGATACTGAGACAGAGGAGAGCGAAGAAGCGAAGGGGGATGGGTCGCAAGCAGCCGAATCTGTTATTTCAGAAATTTAAGATTACATCTGGGTTCCAGCACTGCATTGTGTCCGCTGGAGCTTTGTCTTGATTTTAACTTAAATGCATGACAGGGACACTCGCGGGGTGGTTGGCAAGCTCGACTGCTACTGTACTAACTGGCCGTAGCCTACAAATCAAAGCGGTGCGCTGCACAGAGGGAAACGAGCTCCGCACACCTGCATTCCATAAAATAGGAAATGTAACTTGTGTGCGAATGAAATCATGTGGTAAATACGTTTATTGGTTTATATAAAAGTGTCTCAAACTAAAAGAGCTGCATGAATGGGTTCAGTAAAATGAGTGAAATATGAATGGCGCTTTAAATGAACTCTAACTTTGCCTTATTAGTAAACAGTACAAATGTCACATGACTGACTAATGTTCCCTGACTGTCACCGTATTAAACGGCAGCTAATTGCAGTGAAACTTTGAAATGTAATACTGATATTAACATTAGCCCCACAGTACTATGTTAGGCTACATGAGAGTTATCCTGCACATGATCCAGTATCTGACAGGATCTGTGTGCAGCACAGGGCACGTAGCTACACATTATTCTCCTAGAGCCTCTGCTGCTACACAACAAATGTTAGCAAACAGGCTAGCTCTCCTCCAAGACAGAGAACTCTCTTAAATGTTGGCACACCCTAGAATTCCACAACAGAGCGAATTGACGGCAGATGAAGGGGCATTTCCGTACACGTCCGTGTTGTTTTGTGTTGGAATGAAGTGCGGCCTCGAGCCATGCTAAAGTTAGCTACCTCCTGTTAGCTGTGTTCCACGTTAGCGGTCGCCTTGACAACCACATCAGTCTTCCGTCAGACTCCATGGGCTCCATCTCTGGAAGCTCACTGTGCTTGTCTGTCAGCAACTTATCCATTAAGACTGCGCTTACTGCAATGCTTTGTTCAAACATGGAAAAATGAAATGGAATATAGTAAAGTGAAGTGAACGAATGTATTCTTAAAATAAAGGGTCATACACAAATGCTAACTAGGTTCTGTTCGAGATGCTTGTCATGGACAGCAGATGATTTATTGTCTTGATCTGATGCTGTAGGTAGAATGTGCACATCCTTGCTCTCAGTAGGAGGCTACATGGTGGCTCACTCAGCTCAGCTGCAGTAGAAGTCGCTTTTCCGTTGTGCTCCAGGTATTCTGCACAAGTCCAACCTGAACCACCAGCTTAATCCACTGCAACACATTGTTTCATTAGCAAGTAATGCACATTACCTCACATTACCAACCCTAATGTGTTAATTACTGTCAATAAGAGCAATAGTGAGCGTTTGTAACCAGCAAGTGCTACAGATTATTATGAGAATGCGAATAAACCATTATTAGAACTGTGAACTGATGTTTTCTGTTGCATGTCTAAGTAGGGATGTGTTTCATTTTCACAGGAGTACCTTAGGTGGAGCAGCCTGTAGATACAGTGTTTTTGTTCTTGTACACGCTATAGTGAGGACATACATACATATATATATCTATATATCTATATATATTGCTACTGAGAGAGGACATGTGTGGAAAGTGACCCCGCTTCCTGAAACAGCTTTTGAGAGTTAAAACCTGGATTTAGGGTTCAGGTTAGAATTAGGTTTAGTATTAGGATAAACGTTAAGGTTAGGCATTTAGTTAAGATGACTAAGGTTAGGATGGGGGCCTAGGGAATGCATCATGTTAATGCGTATCCTTACAAAAATACAAAGATAGAAGTACAAACGTGTGTGTGCCTGTGTGTATGTTGGCATGTAGGCTACAGTGGTGGTTGATGTGTGAGCCATTTCCTGCTGCCACTGCCTGGAATAGGGAATGAATATGGATCGAGAGGAAGTTGAGGGAAACCTTTGAAGGTAAAGGTGTGAACAGAGGAGCCTTGAGCCAGCAAAATTATCTAGTGACTGAGTAAGAATTTTTAATTGGTTGAGGAGAGAGCAATACTTTTCCTGCTATCATACCAGACAGAGAAATGATGTCACAGCTGTAACCAAACTATCTGAATTTTTGATAACAGAAGAAAAAACATCAGTGTTTCAGGATTTTACTGTTTTTACTAAAGCAGTCGTGATGTATGGTACAAGCTTATGTGAAGAAATCTTTAATTGGTTAAAGGCTGGACTAAACTGTTTTAGTTTGTTAGTTGGACAATTATGGCTCAGGAAAAATAACTGTAGGATCCTTCACTTAATTTAAAATTTATGGCACACGCAGCTCATCAGAAGTCTGTAGAATATACAATAGATAACTAAACACACACAAGAGTATTCACAATAATCAAACATTTGCATAGAGTGGTCCCTCATTATAGATGACAATGAAACAATTTTATTTAGTCAAGCACTGTAGCCTTCTTAAGGACAAGTATCTGTACTTTACATGGAATTTACTACACTTCATAGACAAATATTGTACTTTTTACTGCACTACACTGGTTATGAGTTACTTTTCAGAGTCAGATTAACTAGACAAAATACAGTGTAATCATAAGACTTTATTGCTCCCCAGTGGGAAATTCACAAGCTGCACAGCAATAATTTAAATTCTAAGCATATATTTAGTTAACATTAGCTCCGCCTTTTCCAGCTGCAACATTAGATGTAATGAACACAATATTGCATCAATAGTTATAGTCCACTTCTATAATACACTTTGATGTTATATGTGCCATTCTGCTTAATGAGTACTTTTACTTTTGGTACTTTGAGTGTATTTTGATGTTAATACATTTGTACCTAAGTAACATTTTGAATGCAGGACTTGTTACAGAGTATTTTTACACTGTGGTATTACTAATTTCACCTAGGTCAAGGATCTGAGTACTTCTTCCACCACTGCTAGACAGAGTTCAGTTCGGGGTTAGTTCTAGCTAAACCAAAGCCGTATATAGAGTCAGCTAACCTGCACATACATCTAAATATCAGATTTTGTATAACAGCAGACGAGGTGGGTGCACCAACATTTACCAACACTTGACATGAACTACTGCTTTAAGCAACAGCCTCTTACTGTCATTATAGGCCACAATGAGTCTCTGCATGCAGACCTTTCTGTAGCATCACCACAGGTGGGCAGTATACAGAAAAGTACAAAAAGCTTTGAAAAGAGAAGTCTTCACCGTCACTGAACACAACCTAAATTTGTGAGCTAACATGTTAGCTTGTGTGTACCTATGAATGTCATTGTCATCTAATAGTTCATCCATCCCTTATCTGTGTCACCTATCCTAACAAGGGTCGTATGGGGTGGGATGGATGGAGGGCCAGTTTCAGCGGATGTTGGGCAAGAGGCGGGGTACACCCTGGACAGGTCGCCAGTCTATAATAATTCATTAGTTATGTAAATATTTAATTTCATTACACTCCCTATGGGCAGCCCCAGGCAGGAAAGGATCAAAAATATTCACATTCTGTCTTCCTCACTTATAACAATCATTCTATCACTCTTATTAGTGTTGTATCTGATGTCAAGATCTTTCCTACATTGTGAGCAAATTGTGAATAACTTCAAGACCAGCACTACATGGAAAGAAAATCACCACGTTGTCCACATACATAAGGTGGTTAATGAGAGAATGGCCAACCATACGCCATGTTCCACATCCATTTAACTGCACTGACAGATGTTCAGAAGAAAAGGAGATAAACCACGACTCTGTCAAACCGCATTATTCACACAGAAAGAAGTAGATACAGAATTCCCCCATTTTACTTTCATTGACTGGTGTGTGGAGCAGAAAACCAGGATTATCACTAGAAATTCAGGAAGCCCTCCTTGGTACAGTTTGGAAAATGATGTATATGGTCAAACACTTTAGCAGCATCTATAAAACCTGCGTATAAAGATTGTAGAATTTTGCCCATTTATTGGTTGTCAGTCATAAAGATGTATTGTTCCAGCCTATTCAGTATCATTCTCTGCAGTAATTTAGATGCAGACTTGAGACTACAAGCCTAATTTTCTTAGTTTGCCAGCTTTATCTTTAAATACAGGCACTAGTAAAACACATTACATAAAGTCACGTATAGGAACCCACTAAAACAGAGCAACTGACAGAGTTTTTTTACTTGCAAGTTTCAAATGTTCTGTACTAATAATATCCATACCACATGTCGTATTTTCTCCTAGCTTCATAATTGCATTGCTTTTGCAAAGCTGAACAAATCAGGCTAATGTTTCTGCCAAAGTGAGAAATTTTACTCAAGCCATTTATTCTGTTAGTATTCAATGGTGCATACATATTTTAGAGTTTAACATACAGTAACTCTGACTTCTTTCCAAAAATCATTATAATTATGATCTTGCAGCTCTCTTCCAAGTGAGTCAGATCTCACTGTGTTCTCCTCCCTTGTGTTATATGAGGGGCATATTTAATACTCGCATTAACACATTTCCTATATTCAAATAAAGCTCAGTGTTTGTCTCTACCTGACTCAACTCATACTTTAAAAGGCCTTCTAGTCTCAGCATGTAACTCCTCCACATAGTCATTCCAAACTGACTTAATGTTGCACACAATAGTCTTCTGTTTCTCAAAAGGTCTGTTGGAGACTGGAGTGACTGTGCCTCAGGAGGTAGAATGGGTCATACCCGGCTTCTCCAGTCCACATGTCAAAATGTCCTTGGGCAAGACAAGGAATAGCTAGAGTAGAATAATTTCCTGGCACTTTTATTGATATTCACAGGTAAACTGTCAAAATGTAGTGGGCAGATCGTAGTTAATCTCTGTAGCATCTACATAGTCATGTGCATTAGCTGTACGTAGGCAGCGTTCAAGCCGTGAAGTTGGGTGCCAAGCTTCCCTGATGTCAGTCTATTATCAGGCAGGAGCACATTGCTAGAAAGAATCAGACAGAACAGAACTGCATTTAAATGATTTGCAAATAAAGAGTGAACATGAGTGACATCAGCTTTCCCATACAGATGCAGGTAGAAGCATCATCCTGGATAAAAGACTTGAAACATGCCAGTCTTTTGAGGTAGTCATCCTCATTTTGATTACACTCCAAGGGTGTATCAACATTCAGAATGACAAACTTTTTGTCGTTGCAGTTCATCTGTATAACAACAACCCAATGACTTTCCATTCTAACCACACTAACTAACTGATCATATTTCCTGTTCCTTTTAACAGGTTTTGGACTTGGACTTGAGTCCAACTTGAGTCCTGATTTTTAGGATTTGTGACTCAACTTGGATTTGACCACAGATGACTCAGACTTGAGGGCTGACTGCATTTCAACTCTGACTTTTTTTTGTACAAGGCCATAATATTTTGGTAAAAGATATTGATATGGAAACCGCCTGCACCATGAGGTATCCAGCACACTTCCATTGAAGGTCACACTCCAGCTATGTTTTTGATGTATCAAATTGCTAAGCAATACGGTGATGCAATACACTGTTAGAAAGTTTAGAACCTCAGGATTTGTTACTCGTGAACCAGCAAATGATGTGTTATTCACAGCAGTTATGATAGTCTCATTTGCATCATAAGCACCAAATAAGAAACGCTAGCAAATCTGTGGGTCCTTCAAAGTCCTGCGGATATCCACAGAGACCTCATAATCCAAAACATGTGGTCTTGATAACATGGCAAGAGTCCAGACAAGTAAAGTATCTGTACTGTTCAATCCAAAATAAGCCACTATAACATAAAATATTCAAAGCCTTGACCAAATCACAATGAAAACTACAAGTAAACATTCATTTCCAGGTGAACAGGTCTGATGCAGTTCTGTTTAATTTAGACCTTGACTTGACTTGACTCAGAATCGGGTAATGGGAACTCACCTCAGACTGTTCTTTAGTGTCTTGGGCTGGAACTGGGGACTTGAGACTTGACTCAGACTTGAGGTTCAGTGACTTGACTACAGCACTACTTTTAAGAGCCACTCATTGTTGACTTGTCTCTTCAGCACACAATATGTCACAATGCCACAACAACTCCAATATGATTTGTCTTCTTCACTGTGCCCAACATGCAAACCTTACATATGACACAATGTAATTTTTTTTTCTTTTTTTGTTAACCATGTCATCTTTACTGGCTGCTATGGTTTTCCAGGGCACATACTGTATGTACTGTACCTCACTTCTCCTTTAATGCTTGAAGAACAAAGTAAGGAATGTCTGTACAATTGTTAAGCAGTTGGCATATAAACTCATATGGGAGATGTTTATTGTTTAGGCATAAAACTGATACATCAAGTAAGAAATTTGCCTTTCTTGGCTCTGGAATGAAGCCAGGAAAACCTTATAAATTGGTTTGGGGTTAAAAGCAGAGGAAAAACGTTTAATAACTGCGAGTACCTTAATGTTCTGTACCTTCTCGTTTCTTTACCATCTCTGTGAGGGGTGAAAGCCAGAGCAGAAATTAGATCAAACCCGTGGCATAGGGAAATTGGGTCATTGCAGCAGCAAATAATAACAGGAATAAGAATTGAATGAGAGAGCTCTATACAAACACAAATGTGACAATTCAGCCCTCTGCATATTAAATAGAAATGTCTGAATAAAAATGCAAGAGTAAGGAGTGTAAAACATGAGTCTGTCACAGTACTCGCAGTAAGGTCTAATGCTGCATGCAACATGAATGTTTTCATTTTACAAAGTAGTAATTCATTCATGTAATTATCATGAATTTCAGCTGTGAGTTCACTTTCTTACAGCTCTTCACACAGACAGCAACAGCAGCGGCTCTCTGTCTGGACTAAACTGTGGATAACTTTTAATTGCTCAACACAAAATGCCTTTAATGACTGCATCTTACAAATGTCATGAATTGTGGTCACACTCACAGTTTTGCATATTTTTAAAACTGTTCAAATAAAGGTCAGTTCAAAACAATTCAAAGGTTGTTTACACTGAAAAAGAATTAGCAACATGTGTTTCATTTACAGAGAAAAACTAAAATGATGGGCTCATAGCTTAAAAAATATTAACTGATGGAAAAACCACAGCTGATTAGCATTTTAGCTAGAGACCTAGCAGAGGTGTGTATCAAGAGAGCACACGCAGTATGATCTGATCTGCATATCCAAGGGCTGACTAAATGCACAAGACAGGGTTCTTCATAAATTATTACTTATATGACATAATGCAAATACAACACTACTGGAATTTTATATTGTGCTATTTGAAATGCACAAAATAGTGCAGTATATTTCAGCATTTCTGGCTAATTTCTATAACATTAAGTAAATTTGTGAATCCCATAAAAAGCCTTGCTTTTGTTTTGTTGTGAACATTGGATTAATGTATGTAAAACAAACGAACCGTACAGTCAATCTCTTGTATTTTGCTCACTGTGTTAGTATATTCATGTAGGAGCCAGATGTTTTCAGAGTAGGTGCTGAAACAGGTATGAACTGTTTTGGTTGCATAACTGATAGTGAGATGACGCATTTTGCCGAGCTGCATGTTGGTGAAGAGAACTTAGTACTGATAAATACAATATGTGTTCAAAGCTATCATTTAGACACAGACAGTGGTGACACGCGTATGTCTTATACTGTATTTTGCAAGAAAATAACAAAACATGCCAGCCAGGCTGAATTAAAATATACCAGTGACCATGGTAAAAACTTAGGAATATCTATTGCAAGTATCAAAGTGGCTGTGTTCTTGATTTCTTTCCACAGTAACAGGAACAGTATCTAACTTGGCTCTGTTCAGACACTCCTGCCTCATGAACACCATGCTTGTATTTTATTTTCAGGGTGCTTCTTTTTGATTGTTTATCTCCACCACTTCGGTCACTTTCAGAACCTGTGATAATCATGTTGATGGGCAGGATTTATTTTGATTTATTCAGAGGACACTTAGTTTTTTTTTTGTTTTTTGCAAATTTGGAGAGGTCTTAGTGTGTGTGTCTCCTTGAATAAGCCATGACACATGTTTGCTAGGTGGTCTGTAAGTAAATGTAATGTCCTGCTAACGCTGAGGGCACGTTTCCTTCTGCAATTTGCACTATATTGTCTTCACAGTAACAGGGCAGTAACTCTTAATCAGAGGTGAAGAATAATTAGGTCAGCTACAGTTGTTCAAGTAAGCATTTAAATACAATTTTGAGGTATCCTATTTGAGTATTTTAATTTTCTGCTACTTCTCATTTTGCCTATTCTCATACAAAGCTGTTTCTTTTAAATCAAACCTCCACCGGTCTCAAATATCTACATTGCTGCATGAGCCATCATCATCATCATTATTATTTACCTGTCTGCCAAAAGAAAAAGAAATCAGAGCTCAAAAAGATGAAAAATGAAAGAAATTGGAAATTACAGTACAGTACTTTTTGGTGTTAGAATGTTTATCAGTAGGAAAAAAAATTTTCTCAGGTGAAAAGATAAGACCATTTTTGTTTTGTGTTGCCCTTATAAGTAGTTTAATGCAAACACATTTTATTACAGTGATGACTAACATTTATACACAGTTACCTGACACAACACTAAAACCCACACTGAAGAAATTAGACTGGTCCCTGTCTTTTCTGTCACCATATTTGAATTTTGTAAACATCTTTCAGTGTTTTGTGTATGTCCTCCACTGTTAAGCTCATAAAGCACCACATTACATGTACATTAGCAACAGCCAGGTCAATGAGCTGTAGTTGTTGGATTTTTAGAAACTAATAGAAACAAAACTTGAGTAACATGCTTCAGCTTTTCTGAAAGAATGAACAAATGTTATGAACCCTAGTGGAAAAGATGCTACAACAAAAAAGATGACAATCTTAATGAACTCATGTACTGGACATTATAGACAGACAGAGTGTAGGTGTGGATCCTTTAAACAACTAAATAGACTACTGTGTTGTTGAACATAAAGGTTTTTATAGAAGTCAAACCATGTGTTCCTCAGCCTCATGTATGGGAGCTCCAGGTCATCCCACTCAGACTCAGAGCTGCTCCATCGGCAAGCCTATGGAACCCCTCACCCCCTCCAGGGCTATGCAACCAACCACCATCCAGGAAGCTCCAGACAAGGTGGGGCTTGGGGTCCTGCTGGACGTACGCTTGGTAAGAATCCACTAGATGGTGCCTGTATTGTGAGATCCGCTGTGATGACTGTTTTGCAGGTGATGATAATACCTGGAGCTGACAAAGTTGGATATTTTGAGTGTTGGTACACTGACTTGTAACATTTTAATAACAGTTTTACATGTTTTCTTAACAACAAAAAGTCCAATTATAGAAAAACTGGAACTGTGTTTCAAGTTTGCAAACTATGACACTGTAACAAAGATGTGCAGCTGTTGTATCTTCATTTATTTTCCCATCTTACAGCACTTGCTTTTTTGTTTTCAATATTTAAATAATAATAATAATTAATAATTCATACAAATTACAAATACATAAACCTTTTAACTCATT